AGTGCTGGCCAAGCACACTGGCAGCAGCCACTGATCGCTGCATCCCTTGTTCCCCCTCCAGGCCTACCTGGCTGCCCGCCAAGCCCAGGAGCTGGATCCCGCCAACACCAAAGCCCGCTTTCGCCGCGCTCGGGCCCTGTTGCGCCTGCGCTGCTACGGCCCGGCCTTGGAGCACCTCTCGGAGCTGCGCAAGCAGGTGGGTAGGGTGCCTCTGATTGGTGGCCACACATGTCCCTGCCCGCCAGTGGGGGGGGGTGGCGCCAGCACTTGTCTCATGCGCGATGTGAAGTACCGCACGGAGCAGGTGGATGTGCTGGCGCCACCCCCTACTGCTGGCCGCCCATCTGCTGGATCTCTGCCTGCCTGCCTGCCTGCCCGTGTGCCTTCAGAATCCACAGGACAAGTCTGTGCCCAAGCTGCTGCACACTGAGGAGCTGGCACAGCAGAGCCAGGGGCGATATGCCCTGGCCACCATCTACTCCAAGCCGGCGGCCAGCCAAGACCTGCTGGCTGACTGGGTGGGACCGCTGGAAGTGTTTGCATCCCCCATTGCAGGTGTGCACCTCAGCACCGCTTGTGGGCTTGTGAGCGCCTGGTGCTGAACACACCGATAAAAAAGTGGGAGCATGTTTGCTTGACAGCTGCAGCTAGGGCCATCGCCTGCTGACTCCGCCACTCCTGCCTTCGGCCCAACCTGCAGGTCGTGGGCTGCGCACCACCAAGGCTGTCAAGGCGGGCGAGCTTCTGCTGGTTGAGCACGCTCTGGCATCTGCACAAGTGAGACGGATTCATGTGAAGGGTGGAGAGATGCACAGCAAGGAGACCAGGAGGCACCTTCTTAGTCTTGCCTGTTGCATGCTGGTAGTGTGCCCATCTTCCACCGTGGACACACACGATTCCCACCAAGCTTAACCATGACTGCAGGCACCGCTGGGATCAGTGGAGCTGCACCTGGACTCTTCCAGCATGCGCATGGTGAGCTGCTGTGCGCCATCTGTCTGGCTCCGACTCCTCCAACCGACGCCATGGGGCCGCTGTCGGCATCCTGACGCGCAGAACACCGGCAGCCAGCAGCGGCTGGCAGGCGAGATCCTCAACCTGTGTGCTGCGTCTGCTCTGGACCGGCAACGTGTGCTGGCTCTCAGTGATGGCACCTCTGAAGGCGCAGAGGATCCAACCGCCAGTGCCTCAGCCCTGGTGCCCTTCCAGACAGGTGGGCTCGGCACAGGTCCCTGCCCTTGTCTGGCCGCTCCCTACCTGAACAGCCATGCTGTTCTACTGTTCAAACAGCTACCTTTTTCTGCTTTGAGCCAGATATCTGCTGTGCCAACCTGGCCCTGCTGCAGAGGAGGAGCTGTGGAACGCTCTGCAGGCTGCCCAGGCGGATGCCGCGGCCACTCCTGGCCCGGATCTGCAGCGCGTGCAGGGTGTCGTGCGCACCAATGCATGGGGAAGTGGTGGGGGCAGGGAGAGCCACGACCCTGCCCTGATACCCAACCAGGCCGGGGGCGAGGACAGCGCAGTGTGGGCGCTGTTGTGCCTGGCCAACCACTCGTGCACCCCCAACGCCCATGGCTTGTTCCTGGGTCCCACGGCGCTACTGCGGGCTTCACAGGACATAGCCGCAGGCGAGTGTGGGACTCAGGGAGCGGGGTGCCCTTATGACGTGCGATTCCAGCGTTGCAACGGCTTAGCCGCTGCCAAGATTGATCGCTCGTCTCTTTCCTGCCGTGCATTCATTCATTCATTCAGCACACAGACCGGCCGCCTCTTGCTCGAGGGCGGCCCACTTTGGCCTGGGCAGCCCGGGCCGCCCTCCCCCCCGGGCGCATGTTCGGTGTTGGAGGGGTGTGCCCAGCGATAGGGGGCCCCTGAAGGCATGCGCCGAGGCCGGGAAGCGTGGTTCGGCGCTGCTGCACGCTTGGCGATTTGAACAGAACCACGTGCCGCCGAGCTGCGGCCGCAGTTTCCGGCCCACGGTCTACGGTCGCAGCCACGGGACTCGGCGGCACGGCGTTTGGGCCCAAGCTTGCTGCCGCCGCCGCCGTGCCCGGGGGGCAGCGCGGCGGCGGCGGGGGCACGCTGCGACGCCCCCGTGCTGCCGAGTTGCGGCCGTAGTTTCCTGCCAGAAGCCCACGGCCACAGCACGGGACTCGGGGCACGGCGTTTCGGTCCACGGCTTGCTGCCGCCGCCGTCGCAGGGGTGCTGCCTGCGGCGGCGGCGGCACGGCGTTTGGGTCCTCGGCTTGCTGCCGCTGCCGCCGCCGCAGGGGTGCTGCCTGCGGCGGCGGCGGCAGCGCACGTGGCAACCCCCCGCGTTTCCTTGCCTCCCATCCACCGGACCCCGTCCTGCGCTTCACTTTGTTTAGGGAGGGGCTGCTCACTGCTCATTGCTCATTGCTCATCGCACACTGCTCAACGCTCATTGCCCTATATCCCACCCAGCCGCAGGACTCTACTGCCGCCCGCGCCCCGCCCCATCTGGCCGCTTGCGCGCCCCATCCCCCCTCGATGGGGCCCGCCCACACCGGGGCCTCCCCCCTCCCGACCACTGCTTTCTCAACGGCCCCGAGCCGGGGCTGCCCTCATTGCATACATAGTGCGCCTTTCCCTGCTTTTCTAGTGACCTAGCGTTCCGCACTGCCGTTTGGCCAGCCCATGCTCCCGTACCGTTGCGTTTCTCCCCAATGCGCCATGCCACTTTGCCAGTCATACACACGTTTCGATGCGTGCCCTGTCAGCTGCTTGCGTTGCATGTCGCCTTGCTCCACCCCTGTTTTATTGCTTTCTCTGCTTTCGCCCGGTTCCCGTCCCGTTTCGGCGGGGAGTCTATGTTGCAAGCTAGTTCTTGCTTTACCAGACTTTAAGCCCACACAAGCAAGCAAGCGTGCAGGCGAGGAGGTGACCATGGCATACAATGAGGACGTTGTCTGCCAAGGAGTGCAGCTGCGGCAGAAGCGCCTGCTGGGCTGGGGCTTCGAGTGCCGTTGCCAGCGCTGCGTGGCGGAAGGGGAACTGCCAGACGGCATTCTGGAGAGGATGTATGAGGTGAGCTGTTCATGAGAGGGCAGGTGGGGGGCGGGGAGTGCGCGTCAGCCTGGCTGACTCTGCTGGGACCATTCCCATTCTCGGATGTGGCGCCGTACCAGCAGCCAGCAGCTCCTGAGGCTGGTCTGTCCTTTACTGCAGATCAACAAGGCCCTGAGTGGTGACCAGCTGGCCCCTGGCCGCCTGCGCCAGCGATACCGGTGAGAGACCTCCTGCCTATGCACGTCGCGCCCACTCAAGCCAGCTCAGATCCTGCCCCGGCCTGCTGCTGGTTGGGCTCAAAGTGCTGCTGACTCCACTTCCCTCCATTTTCCTTGTGCTGTGCAGGGCGCTGAATGGGATGCCACCCGCCCGCGCAGCCCAGGCCGCGCTGCGGCTGCTGGCTGAGGTGCAGGAGCTTCTTGGGGCTGACGAGGCCTCGCTGAGATCTGCGGTGAAGACCGCTGCGAGTAGCGGTGGCGAGGATGAGAATCAGAACCCTCTGGTCAACTGGGGCCTGGCATCTGTGCTGGAAGCCTACCGACTGGGAACCGCCTGCGCTCAAGCCGCGGGCGACATTGCGAGCACTATGCAGGCACGTGATGCACAGCCAGGGGCATGAGCAAGAGGAGCCGGCGCTCGACCCTGGAATCGTGATTGAACCTGCTGCCTGCCTTGTGCATTTGATGCAGCTTCAGCACAAGAGCCTGCGTGCTATTACTGCCACCCGACCAGGCGGCACGGAGCATGTCACCATCGCAATCATCCATGCCGTGGACACTGCTGGAGCCAGGCAAGCTTGCTGCTGCCAGGTGCAACTCAGCACGACCTCTTCCATCACTTGATTTAAAGCATGCACTGTTTGCAGGAGGCTGTCGGCTGTGGCTGGCGCTCGAGGGCGCAGGGATTCTCCAGCAAAGCAGGCACTGACCGGTGCTTTGCGCGCCATCAAGACACGCTATGGGCGCGAGGCAAGTCCAGCTGTCAATGCCAGCCAGTGACAGATGAGCTCCACGGGTGCCCCGCACTGACAATGCTGCCACTCATTGAGGCTTTGCTCCTTTCCACCTGCAGCTGCCGGATGCAGTGGCCATCAAGTTGGGTGACCGCATCGTGGAGTCTAGCGTTGGCGGCTGAGGATGGCGTGGACGGCACCAGTCCTGCAGCTGTTGCACCAGCCATTGCCAAGCTGTCTGTGCTGTGTATGCTTTGATTTTGAGGGTGATGCTCTGCAGTAGTGTCTACAGTAGTGTACTAGGTTCTTGCAAGCGATACATGTACATGGCAGGCACAGAAACAAACACAACAGCCCCAAGACACACGCAGGGTCGACAAACCCAGGTGGTGGTGGCAGCAGTGGTGGTGGCAGCAGGGAGGGGTCATCTAGCAATACAGGTCTGATCTTGAGGCTGTAAGCAACAAGCGGGGCGCGTGAAGTGCAGGGGACCAACACAACGACAAGGCGTGAATAAGCCAAAGCAGCAGAGGACAGGTGCAGACAGTGGCGATGCTGCTCATGCGGTGGGAGGCTAGCTGGGGCAGAAACTGTAACAACAAACGGAACGTGTCAACCGAGCTAGCGAGCAATATGTACACTCCCGCGACATCCCCTGCTGATTGATTGAAAAGAATGTGGCGCATGAATGATGCATGAATACTGCGCATGGAATTATGCATGCGCAGGTGATAGCGGTCGTGTGTGAGGCCAGCACCCCGCCCCAAGGTGGGCAAGGTGGGCGTGGCCCATGGGCTGCGATAAGCAAAAGCATGGCAAAACTTTCCCTGCAGAGAAAAACGCTAGAGAGGCAGGGCGCACTTGTTTGTTGGGTTCCTGGCTAGTGGGTGATGCATTTACGTCGTTGGCATCTCAAGTCGGTTGGCGGTTGGTTGGCAGAGATCTGGGGTTGAGTGGCTGTTCTCCTGCGTTGGGCGGGGAAGGCTCCAGCCCGCCAGCCCCGCCGGCGCCGCCTGCCTCAGTACGTGCCGTCGGAGCAGGCGTTCAGTAGGCGGCGCAGGTGCAGCATGGCCTGCTGGCGGAAGGCGGCGTCGCCGTGGAACACGCCGCTCAGCTCCGCCTCCTTGTGCGGCTCGGCCGGGTGCAGCCGCTTGCGCGGGTTGCTGCCGGCGGCGGCGGCGCGGCCGGCGTCCAGCTGCTGCCTCGCCTTGAACTCCAGCTTGAACATGGCCTGGCGGAACTGCGGAGAGAGGGGCAGGCGCGGGGCGCGGGCACGAGCGTGGAGGCCAGGCGGAGAAGCAGAGCCGATGGCCCTGCCTGGAGGCGCGCGCGCGGCAGGAGTGCGACTGGCGGTGCCTGCAGGGCGGGCGAGGCGGTGGGGAGAGGTCTGCCGGGCGGGCACCTGCTTGAAGGCGTCGTCTATGGCCCCCACATTCATGTGGGCCAGGCGGCGGAACTCTCGCTCCATCAGCGCATCGGCCGCGTCGCGCTCCTCGGCGGGGGCGCAAGAAAAGTACTCCTGCGGGAGGCGGGGGGAGGGTGCGGGGCGGGCAGGAGGCAGCGGGCTATGGGTGTGGCCTGAACACATGTATTGCCGCTGGGGTGGGCGGCGCCCAGCCGAGCTTCGGCGGCAGGACGGGAAGGCGCTGGTCGGTGGCTTGCAGGCATGCCTGGCATGGTAAGCGTGGCGCCCCACCCGCCAGCCCATGCACTCACCCGCATCTTGTCCCGCAGGTTGCGCAGCGAGCAGCGCGCGCGGTAGGGCCAGCGCCCCAGCCCGCTCTGACGGCACAGCTGCAGGAGGGAGGGGCGCGGGCCGGGGGGTGAACGATCTGCCTGCGTGCTCAGTGACTGGCATGCCTGCTCCGCCGGCCGTGCTGCTGGGCCCGGCCCTGCTGGCTGAGGCCCTGGTGCCCCCTCACCTTCTTCAGCGTGGTGACCCCCACCCCCAGCTGATCTGCAGCCTCCTTCAGGGTCATGTCAAAGTAGCCCTGCAGCAGCATGGTAAAGGTAAAGGTAAAGGTGGGGAAGAGCCTCCACAGGCTTAACTTCCCGGTTTTAACGTCTAGCTTTAGACCATTATTTGATCTGCCTGACGTGCCAAGTGCAGTACCCCCCACTATGCATGGAGCAGGGCGGGCAGGTCGGCGGCCCCACGCATTGCAGCGGGGTGGGCTGGAGAGCAGGCCAGCAAAAGGCAGCCAAGCGAGCCGTCGCCTGGCCCAGCCCAGCGCTCACGTTGTCATCCAGGAACGACACAGTCAGGCCCCCCGGCTGCGCCTCGCCCTTGTTGCCGGCGCTGCCCTCGGCTTGACTGCCTCCGCCCGACACCTCGCCCGGCCCTTCTGTCTTGTTCCTGGGCTGCGGCGCCTGGGTGCTGTCGCTGAGCTGCTGGGAGAGGCTGCGCCGGGAGCTGCAGGGCAGGGTGGGGTAAAAGGGTTGGCGCAGGTCGGGCGTGCCTGATGGCACACGCGAGGCTGGGTGGCCGGCAAAGAGCACGGTGCTCCCAGCGCCCGCACTGCACATCATCCTCACCTCAGCGTGCAGATGGCAGCTGTCTCGCTGCTGGCGGCAGATGAGGGGCGACATGGTGTTGTGCCCGCCCCGCCGCCAGGTTGCGGCTGTGCGCCGGCAGCAGCCGCGGCGACAGCGGACGACGAAGCGGCGGCCTGCTGCATCGCCACGCTGCCGGTGCTGCCCGGCACCTCCTCCAGGCATGGGGAGAGCGGGTGCAGGAGGGGCACGGGCCAGGGCGAGAGGGCGGCGCCCAGGCAGGCCGCTAGGTCGAGGCGCGGCGTGCCGTGCAGCTGCGCGCTCCTGCCCCTGGCCTGCCCCTCCACCTCCATCAGCGCATCCATGGCCTCATGATCCACCTCCACATCCACCATGTTCAAGTGGATGAAGTGGCGGCTGCAGGGGGAGGGGAGCAGGGGCAGCAGCAGATGCAGATGAGGTGTGCTGGGCCCGCAGCGCGGCGGCGGACAGGCGTGGACAAGGGGGCTGCCGGGCGGGTTTGCCTGCTGCCGCCCCCGTCACCTCATGGGGTCTGTGGCCACCAGCATGACGTGATCCAGGGACTGGCCGGAGCCGCAGCTGGCCAGGCCGCCAAAGCCGATGCCCAGGCTGGGCGTGGCGCCGGGGGACATGAGGGGCAGGGCGGGAATGGATGCGGGGGTGGTGTGCAGCGAGGCGCCCAGCTTGGCGGCCAGCGGGGTGGACGTGGCCGGCGGGGGTGGCGCGTCGGGCCAGGGCCCGCTCATCGTGTTGCGCACCAGCATGGAGGGATGCCCAGAAAGCTTGAGCGCGCCCTGCACGCAGGCAGATGGCGGCAGCAGGAGCGGGGGGCGTCAGGCGCCGCCTGCGGCAGGCCATCCAATCGCAGACTCGGATTCTCGCCGCTCAGGCGCCCTGTCCAGCCAGACCATCAGGATACAGCAGCGTAGAGCAGCAGGCAGGCCAGGCAGGCAGCTCGCCTGGGCAAAGGCCTGCTTCCTCTCTGGGTGATCACACTCGATGGCTCGGAACATGCTGCCTCCTGCAGGCATAGGGGGAGCTCATTATATCCTTGCAGGCGCTCCGAACGCATTCAGAGGCACGCAAGGCTGCGGCAGCAGCGGCAGCAGTGCCCGGCACGGGGCCCAGGGGTGCCCCCTCCGCTGGCTGGCCCAGCTGCGGCCCACAAGGGGCCAGAGCAGGGCTGCGGTGGACATGCGGGCACGCAGGCTGGCTTGCAGGCACCCGTGAGCGTGCACCGCTGCTTCCCGCCCAAGGCCGCCGAACATGCAAAACTTCCGCAGCGCGGGGATGCCCCGCTCTGGCAGCCAGTGCAATCCCGACTCGCCTCCTGAGTACAGCAGGCAGCCAGGGAGGTGCCCGAGAGGCTCGGGCACGCTGCAGGAGAGCAGCGGCCTGTGCAGGGAGGCACGGCGGAGGCTTGCAGACGGTGGCAGCGGCCGTGCAGATTACCTCGGGTGGTGGATGGATTCAAGGATTGGGACGGCGGTTGCCGGCGGAGAGGCTGACCGAGCATGATATGCTGTCGCCTCGTTGACTGTTGACCGGCCTCTGCCCTCACTCCTCGCCCCACGGTCTCTGCAATGCCACAAATTTACACCGAAGAACCATTTGCGGGGCGAATGGCATGGGTTTGTGCACCATCAGCCGACCCCAACATTCATGCGCCCGCCGCCCCCGCCCCTGCCGCTCGCCGATTCTGCACGTCCCAATTGTACACGCGGGCCATCGAGACCTGCAGCAGGAGCGCGGGATGCATGCTGATGGCGTGAGCACAGCTCGACCGGTGGCTCCGATGCAAGCGCGCCGCAGGCATCGATGCGGCGCCGTCGCCCCAGCACCCCACCAGCAGCGGCGCGTCGCCGTACCTCTGTGGTGGTCAGCTGGTCCTTGATGTACTCGTGCTCCCACTGCACCACCTCCAGCTGCTGCTTGCACCCCGCCAGCTGGCGCTCCAGCAGCGCCTGCGCCTCCTCCAGCGGGTACTCCAGCATCACGCCCGCCCCCAGCCACAGGTTGACCGACGACACGTCGGCCACCCGCGCCCGTGCAAACACCTGGTCAGACAGGCTGAAGTCCAGCACCGTCTGCGGGGGTGGGTGTTTTTGGCAGGGCGCGGGTTAGCGGGAAGAATCAATCGGCTGGTGCCACAACAGCTGGCAGCTGATATGGGAGCCGCAAGAGGCCTGTGGGGAGAACGCCCTGAGCGCGGTCGCGCGACACGTGTGCGGAAGTGGGTCGCGGCCTGCTGGTCGCTCTCCCAGGCCTCTCAACAGCAAGAAAAACACGCCCAGCTCCCTGCAGCCTGCCCACGCACCGACTCCGCCGCCTCTTGCCGGTCCAGCAGCAGGTTGACGGCAGCCAGGCACTTTTGTATCTCGGGCTGCTTGAAGGCCAGCCGCCGCTTGCGCTGCACAATCTCGGCCTCGATGTACTTGTACTTCTGGTGGCTGGCCCGCAGCTCCGTGATCACCTCCTCCGCCTTGCGCCCTGCATGGGGCCGCAAGCATTCAGAGGTGGCCGGGCAGCGCAAAGTGGACAGGCGGCAGGCGGGCGGCGGCGGACAGCCGGCGTCAAGCCACCAAGCAGGGCTGCAGCCCTTGATCGCACCTTGCATGTACGCTTTGACGTCCTCCATGAACGCTGCGGCCGGCACAAGCTCGGGCAGGTTGGACAGGGGCTTCTCCTCATCCGCCATGGCCGCTGCTGCTGTTGCTACTGCTTCTGGGGTTCGTCAAGGTGATGGAAAGATACAGGGTTGATGCAGGCGGTCGTGCAGGGGTGTTCAGAGGCGGTAAGCTTGGTGATGCGAAACGGCAGGAAGTGAGAGCTCCGCTGGAGGGCAGCGGGGAATTGGATCTGAGTTGGTTTGTCGCCAATTGATCTGTAACACGCTCCAGAGGGCGCCAGGCTGCCTTATATCGCACGCCGTGCATTTCACGGCTGGGCCGCCTTTTTGCTGCTCCATCGCCATCTCCTCATCTTGCATCAGCATCGTTGTTTGTACACAATCGCCGGGTGCCAAGAACTCCACTGTCCCAGTAGTGCTGCCAGACCCCCCCCACCCAGTAACTTCTCGGCCCAGCCTTGGCCCCTGCACCACAGCGCGATGTCAGTCATGGCAGTTCGTGTGCCCGCGGCAGTGGCCAGCCGCGCGGTGGCCGCCACTAGCAAGCCCGTCCATCGGGCGGCGGCGGCAAGTCTCCAACCCGCCTTCCGCCGTGGTGCCCTGCGCGCGGCTGCGGCCCCCAGGTGCGCAGCCCTGGCAGCGCAGCACAGACCAGGATTATGCAGATGTGCTGGGCTGCTCATTGCCCAGGCGCCGCAGTGTTGCGCCTCTTTACTGATGCCAGCCAAGAGTGCCACTTGGGCACTGCAGGCCCCTGCGGCAGCGCAACGCCGGGCTTATTGTGCATGCCAACTGGGGCGCCCCCGTGGAGTTCGCTGCTGGCAAGGTATCCTATGGAGCAGCAGCCGCAGTGCATTCCCTTTGTTGGCGCCGCTTGCTCGCAGTGCCAGGCAACTGCCTGCCTTGCTGCGCTGCTCCCCGCTCCATGGCTGGTGCACCCCTGCCCCTGCCCACCTGTCTGCCTGCCTGCCGCTGCGCAGGTGCTGGTGAATGAGAAGGAGGCGGAGAAGCTGCAGCGGCTCAAGGTGCAGATTGGCGGCTCCGCCTCTGCCTACACCAAGGCCGGGCAGTTCATCCAGGTGGGTGGGCGGTGTGTGTTTGGGGGGGGGGGTTGCTGGGCGTGCAGGCTGTCTTGCCCTGCAACCTGCGTCCTTGGTGGGAATGCCCGCCTGCTCCTGTTTGCTGCCATGGCAGGCTGCTGCTCGCCTGACTACATCCCTGCCTCCCCGCCTGCCTCCCTGGCTCCCCACCGGGCTCACCGCGCCCCCCTGCAGGCCAAGTTTGGGGAGGAGGGCAAGGCCGGCTTCTTTGCGATCGCCTCTGCGCCAGGCGCGGACAAGGAGAATGGCGTGGTGGAGCTGCTGGTGAAGGACCAGGGGGGCACCGCGGAGCAGCTGTGCGCGGCGGAGGCAGGTGCGGCGGGCAGCGGGCCGGCCAGGGCGCGGCCCGTGATCGCCCGCCAGCACGCATGCCGCTGCATGCCGGGCGATGCCTGTGTGTGGGCCGGCCCTATCCCACCCTGCCGCCTGATGCCAGGTGCCGGCGCCTTGCATCTCGGCGTGTGCAGGCACCTCCCTGCTCGTGTCTGCGCCCATGGGCAAGGGCTTCCCCGTCGACACCATCCCGCCCCAGCAGTTCCCTACCGTCCTCATCTTCGCCACCGGCTCAGGTGCGCCCGCCCGCACCGCCCTGCACGCTTCTGCCTGCTGTGGAGACCTGCCTGCTGCGGGGGGCACACCTATGCCTGCTCACGCCTCCTCTGCCGCCCTCCCGGCCCCGCCCCTGCGCAGGCATCTCCCCCATCAAGGCGCTGATCGAAAGCGGCGCGCTGCAGGCCGCGGAGCGCAAGGATGTACGGCTGTACTACGGCGTGCGGTCGCAGGAGCACCTGGCCTTTGCCGCTGACATCCCGCGGTGGGAGGCGGCGGGGGTCAAGGTGGTGCCGGTGCTGTCAGAGACGGGGGCGGGGTATGTGCAGGACGCGTTTGCCAAGGTGAGGGCAGGCTGCCGCTTGGGCTTGTGCGGTGCTGGCGCTGGTTCGGCCATGGCAGCCCACATGCACTCAACAGCGGTGGCAGGGGTTACCACAGCGGGGCAAGCACAGCTGGGGAAGGCGCTGGCCATGCGGCTGCACGCTCGTGCTTCCTTGTGCCAGCCATGTACTGCCCACCTGGCCCGCCGACCTGCCAACTGCTGGCTGCTTGGCTGCAGGAGGACGGCATCGCCGACTGGTCTGGCGTTGCTGCTGTGCTGTGCGGCCAGAAAGACATGGCCACTGCGGTCACTGAGCTGCTGACCGGCAAGGGCGTGGCTAAGGAGTACATCCTTACCAACTTCTGAGGCGCACCAAGCGTCAGCTGGCGCGGTCCTGGCGTCAGCTGGCATCTCTCGCTTCACATTTCCTGCTGTCCCGGTTTCTTGCTGCCTCCGATCATCCGACACTGCATTTAATTGCATTCACCCGGTGTGGGCCAGTCTGAACCATCCGCTCCATCTGCTCCTCTACATGTTCGCCTGATGTGTGCAAGCAACAATGTGGACAGGCTTCAGTGCCTGGGAGGGATGGCTCAGCTGGACGACAGGTTTTTAGTCACCCCTATGATTTCTGAACAAGGTGCAGTGTGGAGCCGCTCTGGATGTCGTGGTGTGCCAGGGTACGGTCGCTCTGCAGCTCCTTGCCAGCACACTTCAGGCGGTGGTGCTGAACTGGGATGCCCGCGGGCACTTGAACCTGGCAGCGCGTAGCGCGTTGGGTGAGACCCCAGCATTAGTCAAGCAGCATGCTGGACCCTAGAGAATCCCTTATCCCGACAGCAAGCAGGCTGGCATAACAATTTTAATTGTACCCACCAGTTCCTTGATCCAGCACTGGACCGCTTTTGCTGGCGCGCACGCGCCGACCAACTCATGCACCTGCCTGCGGCTCCTCCTGTGCCTGCCTTATCGCCCCCCTTGGGTGCAGCGCTCATACAGACCTCCATGATACACTGTACGTAATTGGCTGCAGTTCAGGTGGGTACAGATGAGAGGAAGAGGAGACCGGTCTCCCTCTCCCACCTGGTACCAGCGGGTGGGCGGGTGGGCGGCCAGAGGTACTGGCTGCAGAGCGGCACCCCAGCTGACGTTATGCCGGCACCCTAGCTGACAATATGACAATATCTGTTCGCATGTGAGTGTGTAGACCCCGCACTGGGGCTCTGCATCGCGTGGCGACCATGCTACCGAGGGGTTTCCCCGTACCTGAGCAGCAAGCACTTCTCATCCATGATAGATTTCACACAGTAATGCCCTGCAGGTCAGCTCGCCATCCGGCACAAACAGATGCTGCTCAAGGGTGGCAGGCAGCACCCCTCCAGGGCCGATGCTGGTAGATGATCCATGCCTCATTAAAGAAGAAATGCATCAACGCAAGGAATTCTCCTTGCGCATGTCCTGCCTGCCGTACGCAAAGCTGAACAGCTGGCAACATTGCCAGGGCGCGGGCCGGCGCGGAATCCCGTTGTTTGTGCACACACCCTGATGATTCGCGAAGCGGCTCTGCTGCTGCTGCTGGCATGGTGTGGCAACGCAGGTGGGCAAGTCCTTGTGTGTGCTGATGGGTCTGTAGCCAGCCCACACGCTGCTCCGCGCCCTACAACCAACGTGACCTGATCACAGTGGCAAAGCCTCGATTCAATTGCAGGGGGGGTGCTGCCGCCGCCGCCGCCGGCACCTCGCCCCAAGCCGCCGCGTCCCAAGGCGCAGCCTCCGCAGCGACGCCCCTCGCGCCCTAAACCTCCCTGGCCGCCTCCCCCTCGGCCCCCGCGGCCGCCCAGTCCGCCTCCGCCGCCCCCAAGGTGGCCCCCACCCGCTCTGCGGCAAGCTGCATGCATGTGCCTTACTGGCGGGCACGAACAGAACGCTGCCCTTCCCCCCATGTGCAGCTGCCAGCCCGGATCCTTCATTGCCCCAGATGGCTACTTCACCACTGTCAACTCTCTGCCCGAGATGGCCGTGCGCTGTACCAGCTGCGGTGCCTGCAAGGTCAGCACCCGAGACATCCGGCTGGGGAGGCAAGCCCAGCTCGAAGGTAGGTTTGGTGGCGGCAGTACTAGGCGTTGACCCAACACTCCCCCTTTGGCCTGCCCCTTTCCCTTGGCGCCAGGCTGGGAGCTGCACCACGGCTGGCTGCACGGCTTGCACGAAAGGGGCGATGGCCTTGCGGGTGCCGCCCGCCAACCAGAGCATGCCAGATGCCGAGGTGTGCATCACAGACCTGTGCCAGGAGTCGGCGCCTGGGCTCCCCGCCAACCCGGCTCTTTTCAGCTACGTGCCCAACTGCGCAGACGCCTCCTGTCTGCCCTCTACCGGCTGCACAGCCTGGTGCGCTGTGCACGGCCCTCGGCTGGCGGGTCCCTGTGTGGTGCTGTGCAGCTTGCCCGGCCTGGCTGCTGGGTAGGGTAGGCTTGCGCCGCCGCCATATCCCCCCGCCATTCTCCCTCCCTTTTCCATGGTCTGCAGCAATACGGGCTTCTTCCTGGTGCGGCATCCCCTGGTGCCCGGCGCAGCCATGTGCCAGCAGTGCCAGGGCTGCCCTTCCAACCTGTGCGGAGCGCGAGGCTGCATTTCTTGCCCCGTCCTGGGCCTGCCCAGCCGCGCCGCCGTGCCCGGCCTGCGCAGCCTCACCGGCCTGCTGGTGTTTGCCTGCCGTGGGACTGGCGGGCCAAAGGTGGGCAGGCTGGCAGCTGTGCCCGCCCCCCCTCCCTGCCTTGCCCCAAACTGCCATGCTGTGGCGGCGCCTGAGCTGGGTCTCTCGGTACACATGCAGGCTTTCCAGGGCCTGGGCACGCTTCCCTACACCGCGCTGTGGCCGGTCTCCGAGTTTGCTACCTGCCCCACCCTGTACGGAGAGTTCCAGTTCTCGTGGTGAGTGCTGGCTGCAGGGCTGGCAGCACTGCATCTGGGCCAGCCTGCCGCGTCGGGCCCTTGATCTCACCCGCCTGCCTCCCCGGCCACCGCCTGCCTCCCCGGCCACCGCCGCTGCCTGCCTTGTTGCAGGGACAGCGCCAAGTCGCTGGCCGACGGCTTCCCCACCAACCAGCAGTTTGGCGTGTCCAGCTGGTTCCTGCGCAGCCGCCCCGCCTTCCGCTTTGCCGGCAACAGCACCACCCGGCTGGGGTTCACGCTGTACCGCCGCAGCGCCGTCACCGCCACGCTCCAGTATGTGGACGCCAGGACGGGGGCCAACACCACCCGCACCTTCTTCCACGCCCTGCCCCGATCCCAGAACCGAGTGTGCATAGGGGTGGCCAACTACGTGCGGCTGGCGGCGGCGGACTCGCGCATGGCGCTCCACATCACCGTCACCAACCTCAGCAAGCGCAAGGTGCTGATTCGGCTGACGGGCGAGCGCTCGCTGACGCCGCGCCCCGGCAGCCCGCCCAGCTTTGTGGGCGGGCGGGTCACCGTGCTGGACCGCGGCGGCGCTGCGCTGGCCAACCCAGCCAACTCCACCATCGCCTTTGACAATGCCGAGAGGGTGCTCATCCTGGCAGAGGATGCAGAGTGGGGGCAGCTCAAGGCTGTGTAGCCGCACGCGGCGCTGCTGCCGGCCCCAGATGAATGAACGCCGATGTACTGGCTCGAATGCATCCTGGTCTCCATCATCTGTGAATTAACAATATTATTGCATTGCTTCCTTGACCCTCCCTTTGCATCCCCTTTCATCCTTGCTCCTCTTCTGCTTTACTCCTTTTCACTGTTTCTAAGTTTCTACATATGTTGTTACAGTTTGCAGTTTCCGATCACTGGTCGGCTCATGAGCATCGACGTGTAGGGCAGGCAAGGGGTGAGACTGCAGTGTGAGCACTGGAATGAAAGAAGGCAGGGGTGCTCGGTGCAGGCACAGAGTCGCTAGGTAGCAGCGGCAGCGTGCCAGAGGGACAGGTAGCAGAGCCGGGTGAAAGCAGGAGGCTGGCGGCTAATGTACACAGGGGACGGCCTGGGGGCAGCGCGAAAAAATGTGTGTACGGCGCTGCGGTCGGAGATACAGCACCAGCAGTCAAACAAAAAGAAGCACATGCGGCAGCTGCAGGGAAGATGCGAGCCATCTCGGGGCTGGCAAAGGGTTGCAGGACTGGCCCACCCGTCCCTGCCGCAGGGAGGAAGCAGGCCTGACTGCAACGGCCTGCCGGACGGCAGCAGCAACCGTGGCGGCAGGGTCGGGGCGGCGCCCGCTCACGCCTTGGCCTTTGCGAAGCTGCGCTCGCCGTCGCGCCCAGCCTGCAGCCGCGTGGCGGGCGAGGCCCGCACCTCCTCGTGCGCCAGCAGGTTGGCGTCGTCGCCCACAGGCGCCGCATCCTCGGCCTCATACCGGTCCGGGTACTCGTACTGCACGGCAGCCAGGAGTCAAGGGTGACTGCCGTGACTGCCGGGGCCAGTGCTGGCTGCGCATGGCTTCCACACAACATCAGAACCATGTTGTGTGGCAAGGCTGGATGGCAGCGCCGTCGCTGCAGCTGCCCCGCACCTGCAGCTTGCGGCATGGGATGTAGCGGGACCGGGAGGCGGAATAGCTGGAGAAGCTGCAGGGGGCAAGGAGAGCAGGCGCGGTGGGGATTGAGCTGGGGTGAGTCTATTCGGCGGGTGCCGCAGCGGCTCGTGCGCCACAGAGCGGTGTGTTGTGTGGCAGCGGCTCACTAGTTGTCCAGCGCCCTGTGCACGATGCGGGAGTCGATGGGCTGGATGTTGTCCTGCGCCACATACTTGGTGATGCGCACTGCGGGGAGGTGAGGGGGCAGGGGAGGTGAGGGAGCAGAGCAGGCGTGGCGGCCCGGCGCGGAGGCCAGGCTCGCGACAGTCGCCTGGGGGCGCTGCCTGAGCACTCACCGCCGCCAAAGAGCCGCACGCAGTCGGTCTCATCCGGGAGGCAGTAGTAGAAGGGTTGGTGGGGGTGCTGCATGTTGCAGGGGGCATGCAAGCGATCCTCAGCCCTCCATGCTACCGCGGCACACTCTGACGCGGGCTCCCCCTCACTCTGGCGCACCTGCACGTTCATGGCGCGCTGCCAGTCCTCATCTCGCTGGCACTCACGGTCCCAGCCGTAGACCACACCGCGGAAGCCGTACTGCAGCAGCGGCAGCGAGGGTTGTTTGAAGGGAAGCAAAAGCGCCAGAACATGGCCCCAGCCACAGTGCCAGGAGACTCACAATTGAATGACGCAGTGCACACGCGGCACGCCAGCACCGACGCGCTGCACAGCCACCACAGCCGCAGCAGCCACCGCCGCCCCTCACCTTCTTGTGGATGAACACCTGCCCCACCGCAAACTTCACGCCGGTCTTGTCCTCGCGGTCGCGCCGCACCTCCCGCATCCCCTGCACCTGCTGCGAGTAGACGGTGTGCAGCAGGCGCACGCCGTCGATGCCCCGGTCCAGAGCCTCCTCCGCCTCCTCCCCCTCCAGCTGCCGGCAGGCGTCAAACTCGGCGCGGGCTATGGGCGGGATGGCGGCCGCATCTTGCAGCGACAGCGCGGCTGCTGCCGCACTGCCGTGGGGTGCCAGCGCGTGCACGTCGCCGGGCCGCAGGCTGAAGGGCACGTCGGCGTTGGTGCGGCTCCACTTGAGCATGGCCCTGTACACCGCCAGCGCCAGCCGCTTGTCCCCCCTGCCTGCCATGCTCGCAATCACCCTGCAAGGTGGACCAGGCAGCTGGTGCCAGCACGTGAGGCCGACGCAGTCGAGCAACCAGAAGCGACAGAGCGCCAGCAGCGCAGCGGTCGCACCGCAGCCCAGCACATCCAGCGCGCTATTGCGCCCGCTGTCTGCCCCAGCTGCTTTGTGCACAGGCACAGGCGAGCCCAGAAGCACAAGAGAGGCGGTCAGCAGTGCACCAGCCAGGGCGCGCAGACGTGTGGTCACAGGGCCGCTGGGGCACCCGCCGCCAGCACTGAGCAGCTGGTAAGCGGTGCGTGGTGGCGCGCAGCAGGTGTCTCACCTTTCGGGCTGGGTGTGGCAGCGGCTGCAGCACCGCAGGCACTGCCAGAAGCACTGGTGATGGGTCCAAACTTCGGGTGGATGTAATCACAAGTGGTTGGGACTGCACGCCGAAAAACTGGGAGCTTGGGGCCGATGGCACACGCACCATCGGCCAGCTCAGCTTGCACAGCGGCCAAATGAGGTGCTGAGAGCTTCTCGCGTTGTGGTTCCTCTTGATCGTCTCAAGTGCAACGCCTCCACCGCTGCTGCGAGCAGTTCCGTCATTTCCTCTTCTGTGCCGTTCGCAGGCACGAGCGCACAGGCCCCCGCAGCACTGCAGCGCATGCTGAGCGGAGGGAATCAGGGTAGCTGAGGGAGATCAGCGTGCAGGCGTGTCGGCAGAAGGACGGCATGAAGATAGCAGAATGCGGGAGTGGAGGGAGCGTGAAGGGACCCGTGGGTAAGTCACAGTAGCCTGGCAGACCGCCAAGCTGCCCTCGGCACGGTCCTCGACCCCGCCGGCAGGCAGGAGGGCAGCTTGCGCGCGGCGGGCGCGGTCCGTCCCGTCCCGGTTCTCGACCAGCGCCCGACCAGCAGTCCTGCCTGGCTCACCTGGCCCCCCATACGCCCTCCCTGCCTGCGAGCAGACTTCACAGGCTTCTGGGCGCTGGCGAAGCACGAGGGCATGGATGAGTTCCTGCGTGCCGCGGGCTTCCCCTGGGTGGTGCGCAAGGCGGCGCTCAAGTTTGGCGGCTCCGCCGTCGACCTCGTCGCGCACTCGGGGCCGCTGCTCAAGGTCACCTCGCTCAACGCCAAGGGCAGCTGGTTCCGGGAGTACGACGTGGAGCGGGAGGTGGTGCAGCGCAACGCAGAGGGCACCATGTGCAAGACCAGCAGCTGGTGGGAAGGTGCGGCCGGCGGGGTGCTGCCGCTGCGCATGGCCGCATTGCGCGCGCATGCATGTGGGTGCTGCCCCCATGCACGTCGCGACAAGCAGAGCGCTTTGCTCGTTTGGGCCAGCACGTGGGCAGGCAGGCAGACCAGCAGATCGGCCCCACACCCATCACCCGCCGCGCCCCCCCACCCCCCCACCCCACCACCCAGCGCAGGCCGCGTGCTGCGCAGCCGCATGGAGGGCTCGGAGCTGGGCGTGGTGGAGTCGTGGCGCTACCTGCACGGCGCCAGCATGGCGGTGCGCACCGCGCTGCGCCCCGCGCGCGGCGGTCCCGAGGCCGTCGTGTTTTGGTTCTTCGACCGCATGGAGACGCTGTCGAGGCACGTGGCGCGCAGCCACGGCGGCAGGAGCGGCGCCTCGCTGCTGCAGCTCATAGAGTCGGGTGCGGTGTGTGTGTGTGTGTGTGGAGGCAGCGAGGTGGAGGGCAGGAGGGCAGGATGCAGGGGGCAGGAGGCCGGGAAGGAGCAGGGCGGCGCAGCTGCCATAGGCGTCCATAGGCCATAGGCGTGCAGCCACCCAGCCCCCATGCTCGACCCCCTGCCCACCCCACCCTGCCCGCCGCCCACCCTTGCTGCTGCTGCTGCAGACCAGCGGCGCGTGGCGCGGGCCACCCGCACCGACACCGCCTACCTGCAGGACGTGCTGCTGGACTGGCAGCGGTGGAAGTCGCCGGCCGACGACTTCATCCACGTGGCGGCACCCCCCGCCAGCCTTGCCCGCCACAGCCGCCGCCGCCGGTCGCCCGGGTCGGGCAGCCCGCGCACCATGAGCCCCGTCAGCATGAGCAAGAGCCCCAGCAACGACAGCCTGGCAGCGCTGCCGCCGGGTGCGCGGGCGGGGCGGGGGGCGGCCGGCGGGAGGCGTGCTGCTCCAGCCTTGGCTGCTTCTACCGCCGCCTGTGCCACCCTTGCCCGCTTGCCTGCCTGCCTCCACATCACACCCAGCCTGCTTTGCTCGCAGCCTTGCCCGCTGGCCTCCCTGCCTCCCCCTTGACGCTCCCCTCCCTCCCTGCTGCCCCAGGCACGGAGGTGCGCAGCGAGGCTCGCTCTATCCGCAGCGACAGCCGCGGCAGCCGCGGGCGCATGGCCGACGCCGAGCTCAGCAGCAACGCCCTGGACCGCATGGCTCGCCAGGCCGCCGCCCTGGCCATCTCTGACGAGAGCGCCGCCGCCTCGCCGCCGCCCGGGGCCAGGGCGGGCCTGCCGCCGAGCGGCGCGGCGGCGGCGGCGCAGCAGCAGCAGCAGGCCGCGGCGGCGGCGGCGGCGGCGGGCCAGCCGCGGGCGGGCAGGGAGGGGGAGGGGGATCGCGAGTATGGGCGCGAGCTGACCCTGTCCTACCCGGGCGGCGTGGAGGTTCCCGTGGAGGCGGGGGGCAGGCAGGGGGCCCCACGGGCCGACTCCCTCAGCTTCCGCTCCCCAGCCGCCGGCTCCCCCCGCAAGGGCGAGGGCGAGGGCGGCGGCGTGCCCGCGGCCCCCGACAGCGACGTGGCCACCCGCGGCTCCGCCCACCACCAGCGCACGGGCTCGGTGGGCAGCGTGGGGCCGCAGCGCTCGGCGCACTACAAGAGCCTGTCGGCAGACTCCACGGGCAGAGGTGGGCGGCGGATGACGGGGCTGTGTGTGTGGGTGGATGTGTGTTGGCCAGCAGCCCGCCTGTGTTTCCGGGAGGCTGCTTGGCAGGTGCCAGGAACGCCTCGTGCCAGGAATCGCCTCGTTTGCCTGCTGGCATGTGGTAGCACGCACGGGCTGCCGCCGACTGCGCCTGCCTCTGCCTGCCGCCCGCCCCCGCCGCAGGCGGCGCCGCCAGCACGCCGGGGCGCGCCAGCCCGCGGTCCACCACCCCTGCGGCGCACCCGCCGCTGGGGCCTGCGGAGCAGGTCATGGCCTTCCGCCTGCACGAGTTCTCAGACAGCCGCGGCATCGCCTCAGGTAGGGGGCACCTGCCTGCCGGGGCCTGGCCTGCAGCTGGGGCAGGGATTTGGTGTGAAGAGCTTGGGGAGCGCTCATCCCTCTGTCCGTACCTGCATCCATGCCTTCTCACAGCTGCCTGCCTGCCTGCCTGTGCCCGCCCGCCTGCCTGCAGTGGTGCCTGTGGCCACCCCCAACGACACCTCAGAGCCCCAGCTGCTGAGCATGAGCCCCGAGCAGGTCGGCGCACCCGCGGCAGGCTGCTGCCTCCTGCGGCCGGGCGCGGTTGCCAGGCCGCGCTGCCGCGCCTGCTGGCGCCGGGGCCCGCCTCACCCTGCCTCTGCCCTCCCCGCCCCTGCCCCTGCCCCCTGCAGGCTGAGGAGACTGCCGCCAAGCTGCGGGAGCTGGAGTCAGACATGCTGCTGCGGCGGCAGGACAGCCGGCGCGGGTGCAACCTCTGTGGCTGCTTTGTCGTCACGCTCGCGTCAGACACGCTGCCAGAGCACCTGCGGGTCTGGGAGATGAGCCTGATGTAGGCGCCCGGCTGGCGCCTGGGGCCGCCGCACTCTTTCTCCCTCTCCCACCTGACGCCTGTGGTGCCCCACACCCTGACAGCTCCCGACAGTGCGAGCGTAGCGCGCCTGACCTCCACCACAGCGCAGACCAGACCTGCCTCTCTCTCTGCTGCCCCGCCCTGACAGTAGCCCGCCTGACCCATCTGCGCACAGACTTTCATATCCACTATGCCGAGTCGCGTTTTCCAGTGTACACCCCTTCTCCGTGCACCCTCCCTTGCCTTTATGCACAAGTGCTGGTGCCCGCATCTGGCTAGAGTGTTACAAGCAAGGTCTATTGCAAGATATTCCGTTGCCCAGCCCAGGCACAGCAGCTGTTGCAGGCAGCGCAGGCAGCAGCACTGCCCAGCCTGCCCCAGTCGGGGCCCAGCTGGCCGGCCGCCCCGAGGCGCAGGGCCGCCGCCCCCAGCCCCGGGCAGCCTGGGGAGGGAGGCCGGGGCCCGAGCGTGCCTCCTGCCCGGGCGTGCCGGGGCTCAGAAGTCTTCGTCCTCCTCCAGCGCCGCCTGCAGCTCCTCCTCCATCTTCTCCCGCAGCGCGGTGGCGTCCTCAAACTCCTTGACCGCGCCGCCGCCCGCGCCGTACCGCATCGCCTTGACGGCCTGTACCGCGCAGTCGCAGCCAGCAGGGGAGCAGGGCCGGCATGAGCAACACAGTCGCTGGCAGGGCCGCTTCTTGACCGCTCCGGCGCGAGCCCTGCGCCCTGCCATCCCCAGCGCACACACACACAAGAGCATACACACACCCAGCCATGAACCCCACCACCTGCTCGGCGGTACGCCTGCCTATGCGCCCCCCACCCCACACACCCCCACCTCGTTGTGCACGTCCATGCAGAAGGCGATGCGGGCGTGGAAGGCGGCCTGCGGCTCGTCGGTGGCGTAGATGTCGGCAGGGCGTGCCGCCTCCAGCGTGCCCGCCTCGTGGTCAATCACGCCCTCGATGCCACCGTCCCTGCGGCGCGGCGGGCGGGGGTGGGTGGGGCGCGTGCGCAGGCAGGGGGAGGCAGGGAGGCGATGCAGCAGGGGCGCACGCAAGGCGGGCGGTCACCCACCCCAGCTGCAGCCCTGGTGCAGGCCTTTCCGGCCATCCCCAGCTGCACCCAGCCACCCCCAATCCACTATCCCCTCCCATGGTGCGCCAAGCCGCCCCCAGCCCCCCCACCCCACCTACCCACCCACCTGATGGCCTTGGCCACGATGCTCTCCGTGTCTGTCACCGAGGCCAGGCCCAGCTTGGCGGCCACGTCTGCCAGCGAGATGCGGAAGTAGGCGAGGGAGATGCGGCGCAGGCCCGCGCGGATCACGTTGTGGCGCAGCCGCACAACCAGGTTGTGGGTGCGGTCGGCGCGGAACACGGCCTCGTGGGCGGCAGCCACCGCGCTGCGCCGCGGGGAAGGAGGTGAGGGGAGGGGAGGAGAGGGGAGGGCAGGGGACGGAGGTGAGGCGCGGGTGGGGTGGGAGGTGTGTGTGTGTGTGATGATGTTTGGCAGCCGAGTCTGCCAGAACCACACCGCCCAGCTCATGCCGACCGCCCCGGCCAAGCGCCCTCACCCTCTGCCCTCCCCAGCGGCGCCAGCCACCCCCACCTGAAGGCCGACAGGTCCCCTCCCCTGACCGCCTGCGTGAGGTCGAAGTAGGGCGCCAGCGGGGCGGCGGTGTCGGGCGCGGTGAACTCGGTGCGGTCGGGCACCTCGCCCAGCAGCAGGCGCACCAGCACCAGCCACTTGGCCACCGCCACCCGGAAGCCCACCGCAGAGGTGGGGGCCTGCACACGCCGGGGAGGGGCAGGCAGGCGTGAGGGAGGGCGTGAGGGAGGCGTGTGCCGAAGTGCGAGCGAGGCCGGCTGCTTGCGGTGTGCTGGTGCGCCCTGCCACAGCATGCCCACTGTCCTCTTCTCCCCTGCCGCCGCCGCCCGCCCGCCCGCCCACCTTGCGCACCGCCTGCTGCAGGCAGTCCTTGGCCTCGCTGTACTCCAGCTGTACCGCCCGTATGCGCCCCAGGTAGTGCAGGTAGCGGCACGCCTGCTGCATGGACCGGCTGGTCTCTGGGCGCTGCGCCTTGGCGCGCAGGCGCTCCGCCTGCGCCACGGGAGCGGGGGGAGGGGTGGGGTTTGGAGGGGGGCTGGGTGGGAGTCGAGCACGGCGACCCGCCATACACATGGCTGCATTTGGCCCCGACCGTGCGTGTACCACCCATCCACCTCGTCGACACTCCCCGTGCACCAGCCTACCCTCCACTCAGAATCCTAGTCGCCTGTGCTCGGCCCCACCCCTCCCACCCCTCACCCCCCCCACCCCACCACCACCACCACCCCACCCCCACCTGGTCATACAGGCTGTCTGCCAGGTAGTTGCGCAGCAGCAGGTTGAGCAGCGTCTCCGCCCCCACGTCGTCGTGGCGCAGCACCGCGGTGCGGTGCAGGGCCAGCAAGCGGGAGCGGATGGCGGGCAGGCTGCCGGCGCGCTCGTGGGCCAGGGAGAGGTAGGAGCAGATGCGGGCGGCGATGACGTCCAGGGTGCGGCGGTTGAAGGTCGACAGGCGGTCCACAGCCGCGCCCGCCACCTGCTGCGCCTGCAGGCAGGGAAGAGGGCGTGTGGGTGTGGGTGTGGGGTGAGGGTGGGTGGAAGGGGGGGCGGCCCCGGGTGGGGTAGGGCGCCGGCAGGCAAGGCACGCAGAGCAGCAGGTGCCAGAGCTGGCCTAAACCATGACGGGGGTGCGGCTGGCCTGCCCACCCACCAGCTCGTACTGCTTGTGGTCCAGCAGGAACATGAGGGTCAGCAGGTGAGCATACATCTCAACCTCGGGAAGAGCGTTGGCGGGTGGCGGCGCCGCCTCCTCCTCAGCCGCCGTGCCGTTGGCTTCCGCGCCGCCATCCGCATCCATCGCGCTATCTGCCACCTGTGGGACGGGAGGCGCAAGGCCACGGGCTGGCAGGATGAGTGGCAGGTGCTGGGGGGCTGGCACCGGCGGTTGGCTGGTTGGCGGCGAGTGGTGCCGCACCCGGCGCGGTTTGCAGCCGCAAGCTCGATGAGCCTGCTGAATGCTTGGGTCACCCAACACTCGCGCAGGGCACATGTCAAGATCTGCAGCCCCATGGCCCACCTGTTTCACAGCCTCCTGCAGCTGTTGTGCTGCTGCCGAGGCAGGCGGCAGCGCCGACGCCAGGAAGGCCTGCAGCTCCTGCGCCGTCAGCTGCCTGCGCACCGCCGCCGTCTGCCGCAGCACCCGCCCAAACAGCGTGCGGGTCTCCTTCTCCGCCACGGCGTTGGTGATGAGCCTGACGTTGCTGCGCAGCACCGCCGGAGGCTTGATGGGCTCCACCGCAGGTTTCTGCTGCTCCTCTGCCGGAGCCGCATCCTTCATGTCCACCTCCTTGCCCATCGCGCTGCCAGGCTGCAGAGCACGACTGATCGAAGCGGTGGCTCACAGAAGACTGATCGGAGAGCGCCCGTGGGACGGGCAGGTGGGGAAGGGGCTGATGTATTGCAGCTGGATCGCCGCTAGTGCCTCCTGGGTGATGCTCGTCTCGGCCGCCAGCTCGGCATTTTTGCCACGAGAAGAGGGGCAGCTGGCGGCAGCAATGCCGCTCTTTCAGCTCCCGTTACAACCAGTGCTACTTCACATTGCTTCTGGCTGCTGCTCAGGTAGCCCAGCGGCCCTTTTCAAGTGCCGCGGTTGGCCCTTGCTGCCAATGCCGGCCTCCCCGCTCCAGGCGCTTCACTAGGCCGCCACCGAGCCTGTACAGGCGGTTGGACGCGATAGCCGAGGGGCTAGGAGGTCCAGGGTGGTGGGGGACGCCATGGCCAGGCTCGCTGTGCTGTGCAGCAGCAGTGGCAAGACGGTGGAGCTGGAGGTTGGCTCCCATGCACGGTGAGCTGCTCTGGGGAAGGTCGAGACGCCCGCAGCCGCGCCACACTGTCGCCAGCCCCAGGAGGCGCCGCCTGGCCGGCCGAGTCCCGCCGCTCCTCGCCACGCCACCTCTCCGCACCCCTGCCTGCCCTCGCCCGCAGCGTGGAGGTCGTCCAGCAGACGCTGGCGGAGCTGACGGGCATCCCCAAGGGCGACCAGATCCTGATGTGCGAGGGCGCCCGCCTGGACGGCGCCAAGCCGCTCGCCGCCTATGGCCTGCCCTGGGTGAGCCATGCTGCGCTTGCCGGTACTGCCTGCCGCTTGGTCTCTGGCAGGCTGCCTCTCGCCAGGCAGCTCTCTCCACTGCGCCACGCTCTCTCCTCCTCCAGTACCCCTGGCTTCTTCGCACCACCAGTTTGCAGCCCACGTTTGCAAGCCAACCGTATGTTTGTGTTGGAAGTTGGGTCTGTGCCACCAGAGCCTTGCCTCACTGCTGGCCTGCTGAATGCTCCGTCCCTCTCCCTGCCGCCCCACCTGGGTGCAGGAGGAGCACGACAAAGTGCACGATGTGTTCCTGTACAGCCGGGCACACCTGCGGCCCGACGCGCCGCTGCCACCGCCCGAGCAGCTGCCCGAATGCCCCCTGGACCGTGAGTGCTGCTGGCTGGCGGCCTGATGATGGCGCAGCTTGTGCACTTGTGCTGTGAGCTGTGTGCACCCACGTCCATGGGAGTGCAGGCAGCTCAGCGGGGCCACCCGGTATCCGGCGCGTCCCTGCCATGCTGGCACCGACTGGCCACAAATGCTGCTTCCGTGCCGCGGGGCACAAATGGTGCCTGATGTCAGCCAGCTGCCTCCCCCGCTGCATGCCTTCCCCGCAGTGAGCGGGCTGGAGGGCATCGCGCAGCAGCGGCACCGCCTGGACGAGGCCGGCAGCCCGCTGCTGCGCCTGCTGCCCGACTACCAGCGCCAGTTCCAGGCGCACCTGCTGCAGGCCAACGCGGCGCACGAGGCCAGCCAGCAGCGGTGAGCGCCCCCGCTTGCCCGCCGCCGTTTGCAGGGCAAACGGCAGCACGCCCGCGCTGTGGTGTCTGCATGCCTGGCTCGCAAGTCCCCCACCCCAAACCCCAACACTGGACTCGCGCGCCGCCACCTACACGCCTGCAACCGCATAACACCCCGCCCACACCGCTCCCCCCGCTCCCGCCCCCCGCAGCATGGCCACCTGCGCGCGGCTGGTGAGCGAGCAGGAGGTGCAGGCGCTGTCCATCGACGCCGCCACCTCCAACGTGGAGCTGCACTACGCATACATACGCGACTCCTTCGGCGCATTCATGGCACGCTACCAGCAGCAGCACGCGCAGCACGCGGGTGGGTGCTGGGGCAGGGTCCGGCGGGGCAGGGCGCCCTGGGCCGGGGAACAGCTGGGTCAGGGACGCTCTGCTACCTTTGCCTGCCACCGCCCCGCCCTGGCTGGCGCCCTCCCCTCCATACCCAACCTTGTGCACACGCCGCCCCCTGCTCCTTTGCTCGCGCGCGTGTGCAGAGGTGCTGTCCCGGTTTGAGCCCGACCTGCAGCACCTGGCCGCCACCGAGCTGCACCCGGCGCTGCGCGGCAGCGAGGAGGGCGCCGCCAGCCTGGCGGGCCTGGTCAGCGCCGAGGCGCTGCGCGAGTCGGCGGCGGCCTGCGCGCGCGGCCACCAGCACTTTGGCGGCAAGGTGGCGGAGCTGGAGGGGCTGTTCGGCATGCTCAAGGCGGATGTGGAGGCGCTCTTCATGCAGGTGGGTGCTGGGGGTGCATGCGTGGGCGGGTGCTGTTGCTGGGGCTGCATGTGTGCCGCCCCCCTGTGCAGGCCGCGCGCCCAGCAGCCTGCCCTCCGCAGCCTCGCGGCGTGCAAGGCATGCACGGCATGCACACGCAGCCTCTGTCTTCTTGCGCATGCCCCGGCACGGCACGCCACCGCGCCGCTCACCCCCCCGCCGCCGCCGCCGCCGCCGGGCGCAGGCCCCCAGCGTGGACCTGGAGGCTCTGACGCGGCAGCTGGAGGAGCAGCACGGCGCGGTGGATGAGCAGGGCAGCATCGTGGCGGCGCTGTCCTCTGACCTGTCCAAGGTGGCGCAGCTGGTGGAGCAGGCGGGGGAGGCGGCGGCGGCGGCCGACCCCGCCGCCTCGGCGCACGTCTCCGACACGGTGCACATGCTGGAGGCGATGCGGGAGGCGCACGTGGGGCACCTGCTGCCGCGCGTGGACGGCTGCCGCGCCGCGGTGGAGGCCTTTGCGGCGCAGTGCCTGGACTGCAAGGTAGGGGCGGGGTGTGGGATGGTGGCAGCGGCGGCGCTGCTGTTGCGTGGCATGGGCAGCAGCAGGCCCGCCCCGGCTCGCTGGCGGCAGCTGCTGGTGGCAGCTGCTCTGTGTGATAGGCGCGTGTGCCTGCCTGCACTCATGCGCGCGCCCTCGCTGCCCCGCCCCGCCCCCCTTGCCTCCCCGCACCCGCAGAATGCGCTGACGCGGGACGTCTTCACCCAGCTGCGCACCATCTCCTCGCAGCAGAGCAAGATCCGGGAGATGAAGAACAAGCTGGCGCTGTTCCGCGAGGCGCTGGCGCGGCAGGAGGGGGCGGTGCAGGAGCTGCTGGTGGTGCGCCGCGTGCCCGCCGCATACAAGCAGTGCCTGGCGGAGTGCGTGCGCAGGTGAGGGGCGGGGGCAGGCGGGGCTGCGGCGCAAGCGCACGACGCTGCATCCAGCCCCGTCGCATCGCATGCTGCTGGCCCAGGCGTGTTCCGCTTCGCCGCCCTGCCTGCACCGCTCCCTGCTGCCCTGCCCTCTCCCATGACCCCCTACCCTGTGTGTGTGTGCGCGCTGCAGGGGCGCATTCATGGAGAAGTATGCGCACAGCGCGGCGCAGCTGGCGGAGCGCATGGGCGCGTTCCGTGAGAAGGAGCTGGCCATGCGGGACGCCTTCCGCAAGCATGTGGAGCGGTGAGGGGCGCAGGCGCGGGCGGGCATGAGCGGATGTGTGCTTGGTAGTCTTGCGGGCGGGTCGACCGGGGGCCCTGTGGAGGGCATGGCCCAGCTCGGCTGATTCATGCAGCCCGCGGCAGTGTTTGTTGCCTCACAGCTGGCTGCCCCTGCGCTGGGCTGGGGCCGCAGGCTGATCCCGGCGCAGCTGCTGGAGCGCATGGGGCTGCTGGAGCAGCCGCCGCACTGCCAGGTCAGCGTGTCGTCGGCGGAAGGCGAGCGCCTGCTGGGCGTGACCGTGGACGACGTGCGCCGCATCCAGCTGCCCTGGGCACCCGCCTCCCTGCTGGCCCCGCCGCCCTCGCCCACGTCGGCGGGCACGCCCGGCGGCGCCGCCAGCGGCGGCAGCAGCCGCGACGGCTCCCTGCACCCGTCGGCCGCCGAGCAGCAGCAGCAGGAGGAGGAGGCGGCCGCGGCGGCGGCGGCGGCGGCCGAGGTGGATGTTACCTCCATGCTGCAGCTGGAGAATGCCAAGCTGCGGGCGGAGGTGGCCTCACAGATCGCGCTGGACTGCATCCGCGCCGTGCA